AGTTGAGCATCTGCTTTCGGCTCAGGGCATGATCCTGGAGTCCCAGGATTGAGACTCACATCGGACTCCCTGCAAGGAGCCTGCTTCTCTCTCTGCCTCTCTGTGTTTCTCATGAATAAATAAATAAAACATGGGCAGCCTGGGTGGCTCAGCAGTTTAGCGCCGCCTTCGGCCCAGGGCCTGATCCTGGAGACCCAGGATTGAGTCCAAGTCGGGCTCCTGCACGGAGCCCGCTTCTCCCTCTGTCTGTGTCTCTGCCTCTCTCTCGGTCTCTCATGAGCAAATAAATAAAATCTATTTTTTAAATAAAACAGATGAAGCACAAAGAGGTAAAGCATGTTATTTGCCCAAGGCTACACAACAATTCTGTGTAATGGATTCAGATTCTGGATCTAAATCCAGGGGAACTTGATGAATGTTGTGGGTTCTGATTGTTCTACTGACCAGCCATTCCTCTGTCTTTCTTAATTTCTCAGTCCTCCCTATTCCCTGAGAAACAGCAATATTGAAATTAGGCCAATTAATAATCCTACAATGACCTCTAAGTATTCAAGTGAAAGGAATAGTTGCATGCATCTTACTTTCAATCAAGTTAGAAATGATTCAGCTTAAGTGAGGAAGGCATGTGTAATATGCCAAATCTGAGCCCCCTTTGAGTCAAACACTTAGCCAAGTTATAAATGCAAAGGAAAGGTGCTTGTAGGAAATTAAAAGAGCTGCTCCAGGAAACATAAATTATAAGAAAGTGAAATAGCCTTATTGCTAACAAGTAGAAAGTTTAAGTCGTCTATCATTTAAAAGATAAAACTAACTACAACATTCCCTTAAACCAAAGCCTATTCCAAAAGCACAAACACAAAAACAAAACCCCAAAGCCCTAATCCAGAGCAAGCCCCCAATTCTTTTTATTTCTTTGAAGGCTGAGAGGTAAGGAAGTTGCAGAAGAAAAATCTGAAGCTAGTAGGGGTTGGTTCATGAAGTTTAAGGAAAAGGAGCTACCTCTATAACATAAAAGTATAAGATGGGGCAGCAAGTTATCCAGAAGATGTACTGAAGATAATTAATAAAGGTGGCTACACTAAACAGATTTTCAATGTAGGTGAAACAGCTTTACATTGGAAGATGCTATCTGGGACTTTTTACAGCCTGAGCGGGGAAGTCAATGCCTGGCTTTAGTGCTTCAAAGGACAGGCTGACTCTCTTGTTAGGGGCTAATGCAGCTGGTGATTTTAAGTGGGAGTCAATGCTCATTTACTATTTTGAAAATCCTAGGGCCCTTAAGTATTACGCCAAATCTACTGTGCTAGTGCACTATAAATGGAACAATGCCTACATGACGGCAAATCTGTCTACAACACAGCTAATGAATAGTTTAGGTTTTTGTTTTTGGGATTTTTTTTTTCTTTGGCATCCCTGGGTGGGCCTGATGGATATTTTAGGCTCACTGTTGAGGCCTACTGCTCAGAAAAAAATTCCTTTCAAAACATTACTGCTCACTGACAATGTACCTGGTCACCTAAGAGCTCTGACAGAGATGTACAATGAGATTAATGTTTTCATGCCTGCTTACACAATATCCGTTCTGCAGCCCATGGATCAAGGAGTACTTTCAACTTTCAAGTCTTATTATTTAAGAAATATATTTCAAAAGGCTATAGGTGCCATTCCACTGATGATCTGGGCAAAATAAATTGAAAAACCTTCTGGAAAGGATTCACCATTCTAGATACCATTAAGAATATTTGTGATTAAAAAAAATATTTGTGATTTATAGGAAGAAGTCAAAATATCACTAATATGAATTTGGAACAAACTGATTCCAACCCTCATGGATGACTGAGGGGTTCAAGACTTCAGTGGAGGAAGTACCTGCAGATTGGCAGAAATAACAAGAGAACTAGAATTAGAAGTAGAACCTGAAGATGTAACTAAATTGCTGCAATCTCACAATAAGACAGATGAGGAGTTGCTTTATTATTTATTTTATTTTATTTTATTTTATTTTATTTTATTTTATTTTATTTTATTTTATTATTTATTCATGAGAGAGACAGAAAGAGAGAGAGAGGCAGAGACACAGGCAGAGGGAGAAGCAGGCTTCATGCAGGGAGCCTGACATGGGACTCGATCCTGGGTCTCCAGGATCACGCCCTGGGCTGAAGGCGTGATCCATAAAGACAAGCAAAGAAAGTGGTTTTGAGATGGAAGCTATTCCTGGCAAAGACGCTGTGAAGATTTAGAACACTATATAAACTAAGCCGATAGGACTCCAGTTTTGAAAGAAGCTCTACTGTAGGTAAAATGCTATCAAATAAACACATTCTACAGAGAAATAATTTATGAAAAGAACAATCAACGCAGCAAACTTCAATGTTGTCTTTTTTTTAAAAGATTTCATTTTTATTTTTTTTAAAGATTTTATTTATTTATTCATGAGAGACGGGGGTGAGGGAGAAGCAGGCAGAGGGAGAAGCAGGTTCCATGTAGGGAGCCCAATGTGGGACTTGATCCGGGGTCTCCAGGATCACGCCCTGGGCCAAAGGCGGTGCTAAACCACTGAGCCACCTGGACTGCCCTAAGATTTCATTTTTAAAAAGTATCCCTACACCCAGTGTGGGGCTCAAACTCAGGGCCCCAAGATCAAGAGTTACATGCTCCACTGACTGAGCATGCCAGGCACCCCCAATGTTTTTTCCCCCCCAATGTTAAGAATTTGCCAGTCACCCCAACGAGGTGACCAGTCAGTAGCCATCAACAGCAATGCAAGACCTTCCACCAGTAAATATATTACTACTTGCTGAAAGCTCAGACAACGGTTAGAAATTCCTAGCAATAAGGTATTTTTAAATGAGGGTATGCACATTGTTCTTTTAAACATAAGGTTACTGCATACTTAATAGACTATGGTGTAGGGTAAACACAACTTTTATATATACTGGGAAGCCAAAAAATTCATTTGCCTCGCTTTATTGAGATATTTGCTTTATCGCAGCAGAACGGATCCTGCAGTATCTCCGAGGTATGCCTGTATATTTGAAATTTTACATACATCTCTGCCACAGGATAGTAAGTAAAAACAATGGCCTGACAGTTTCACATTCCTCATCTGGATATAAAACCTGTTTTGGGGGATCCCTGGGTGGCGCAGCGGTTTAGCGCCTGCCTTTGGCCCAGGACGCCATCCTGGAGACCCGGGATCGAATCCCACGTCGGGCTCTCGGTGCATGGAGCCTGCTTCTCCCTCTGCCTGTGTCTCTGCCTCTCTCTCTCACTGTGTGCCTATCATAAATAAATAAAAAAAAAAATTTAAAAAAAAACAAAAAAAACAAAAAAAAAAAAACCTGTTTTGCCACTTACTGTGACCGTGGCAAGTTATTTATGATCTTAGTTTATTTGCTGGACAATGGGGCTAATACCTACAAAGAGATAACTTGAAAATTGTTTCTGATACACAGCAAAGGTAGCTTATGTGGCAAAATTCCTAAAAAACAACAACAACAACAACAACAAAAAACCAAAAAAACAAAAACAAAAACCCATAAAAGCATGTTGGTTTGCTTCTTCTGGAACTTAGGTTGAGAGAGTGTCAGAATATACAGTTTGCTATCAGTGGATAGTCATCTCCTCTATTCAGAACAGGACTTATTTCGACCAATGATTACATAATAAAGTCACACTCATATTCAAAGCAAGACTTCTTGCAGGGAACCATCTAGCAGTTTGATTTAAAGATACTTTTTTTTTAATTAAAGATTCTAATTTATTCATGACAGACACACACACACACAGAGAGGAGAGACACAGGCAGAGGGAGAAGCAGGCTCCATGCAGGGAGCCCGACATGGGACTCGATCCCGGGTCCCCAGGATCAGACCCTGCACTGAAGGCGGCACCAAACCGCTGAGCCACCCGGGCTGCCCATAAAGATACTTTTAAAACAGGTAATTGGGAGCAGGGAGTATCTGGAGATTATCCGGCTTGAGGCAAGAACTCCACTTGCTCAGAAGATGTGAAAATGCAAATTATTTGTACTGAGCCAATTCATAGAGCTTTAAAAGTTGTACGGCCCCAAGAGTTCCACTGTGATGTCCACTTGACCCAGGGGAGTATTCAGGAAAGTGCAGGTGTACACAGTGACGACGGATTAGGCCTTTGCCACTAAAACTGTGGCCGGCAGCACTGCCATCATTCGGAAGCTTTTAGAAATGCAAAATCTGGGACGCCTGGGGGGCTCAGTGGTTTGGCACCTGCCTTCGGCCCAGGGTGTGATCCTGGAGTCCCAGGATCGAGTCCCACGTCGGGCTCCCTGCACGGAGCCCGCTTCTCCCTCTGCCTGTGTCTCTGACTCTCTCTCTGTCTCTCTCATGAATAAATAAATAAAGTGTTAAAAAAAAAAGAAAAGAAAAGAAATGCAAAATCTCAGCCCTCACCAGACCTACGGAATCACAACCCGCATTTCAACATGATTCCCAGGGGATTCCTACACACACACACGACCCTTAAAGAGAATCCCTGGGTTACCTGTTTTACAGGGAGGGAGGTGGTTGTTACAAAAAAGATGATTTCGTCTTTACGGATTACTTAAACGACGCCAGGAAATCATATATTATCTGCATTTAAATTTCAAGAACGGTCTAGGACACGGATGTTTTACTGCCGCGTTCAGGAAGAGATGGGGGGAGGGCGGCCTGAGCGTGGTCCTTGCGGAGAGCAGACGTGGGGGCTCTGGGAGGCGGGTCTCCAAAGGCCAAATTTAGTTCCTCCGCCTCCGAGCCTCCACGGAGGTAAAAAAAAAAAAAAAAGCTGCATGCCCCGAGTTCAGGCGACCAGATTCTGAGCAGGGAAGGCCTCCCGCGTGCGCCGGGCACCGCCGGGGGCGGCAGCGGCGACTCCTCGGGGGCCTGGCCGCGCGCCCCGCGCCCCGCATCCCGGACCCCAGACCCCGCGCGGGCGCCGGGCACCGCGCGAGCTCCCTTTACCTCTCCGGCTGCCATCCATGCTCAGATCCTCTTGCAGCAGCCGTGAGGACCCCCCGGGCCCCCTTCGGACCTTCCCGGGGCCGGGCCAGCCCCCGCCGGAGAGGACTGGCGCACACGGGGCGGCGCGCGCCGGCAGCCGCACGACACCGTCGCCAGGCCGGTTGCTAAGGGCCGGGGCCCCGGCGCCCGGATTGTGACGTCACGGCGCAGGGACGTGCTCTCCCGCAGCCCCGCCCCCCGGGAGGCGCGGTACCCGGGGGAGGGGCGGGCGGCGGAGGATGCGGCCGGAGCGCGGGAAGGCGGCCAGTCGTCCACGGGGCGGCCTCGTGTCGCGAGCCGGGCCCCCAGCACCGGGCACGTCGTGTCCCTGCGGGAAGAGCGGGATGCAAGGCGGCCTCATCTGGCATCCATGTCCTCCGGGTCCCGGGGCGGGGGATAAAAATCAAACGCAAATGTTGGTTGAGGACAGGTAACACTTAACCAGGTCCCCAGAGTTAAATTTCAAAGCAGTGCGTGAATATTTGGCTCAGTGAAAACCCCTGGGGATGAAAAAAAGAAATCTGTATATTTACATCTTGAGTTTTGAGCTCAGCATTTCCTTTCTACCTGCTGAGCTCTACCCCCATCTCTTTCTACGCCTGGCATTTTCATTTTAAGGCTCCAGGCTGTTTTTCTTTCTGCGGGAAGAGAGTTGCAGGATGAACAAGGCGTTGTTTGATCTGTGGCTTTCTACAATTTAATTTTTTTTTTTAAGATTTTATTTTTTCATGAGAGACACACAGAGAGAGAGGCAGGGACACAGGCAGAGGGAGAAGCAGGCTCCACGCAGGGAGCCCCATGTGGGACTTGATCCTGGGTCTCCAGCATCAGGCCCTGGGCTGAAGGCAGGTGCTAAACCGCTGGGTCACCCAGGGATCCCTACAATTTAATTTTGAAGCAGTTACCTACCTTTTTTTTTTTTAATTTATTTTTTTATTGGTGTTCAATTTGCCAACATATAGAATAACACCCAGTGCAAACAATCCAATCATGAAATGGGCAAAAGACATGAACAGAAATCTCACAGAGGAAGACATAGACATGGCCAACATGCACATGAGAAAATGCTCCGCATCACTTGCCATCAGGAAATACAAATCAAAACCACAATGAGATACCACCTCACACCAGTGAGAATGGGGGAAATTAACAAGGCAGGAAACCACAGATGTTGGAGAGGATGTGGAGAAAGGGGAACCTTCTTGCACTGTTGGTGGGAATGTGAACTGGTGCAGCCACTCTGGAAAACTGTGTGGAGTTACCTACCTTTGGATCCTTGGAAATGAGCTCAGAATAAGGCACGGGGCATTCTGTAATGTAGCGTTGCCTTCTCATCGTGGCACCACTGACACTTGGCTGGGTGCAGAATTCTTTGTTGTGGGAGGTGCCCTGTACATAGTAGGATGCTTGACAGCATCCATGGCTTCTACCCACTAGATGACAGTAGTAACCCACCTACTCTGCCTCTGGTTGTGACAAAAAATGTCTCCAGATGTCACCAAATTTCCCCCTGGGTAGTGTAGGGGCAAAATTGCACCCCCTTTGAGAACTGCTGCTGAAATGGAAAAAGTCCTGGCTTTGGAACCAGTATGTGGAATTTTCTGCCACTTGCCAGCTTAATTTTTGTTTGGAAACCTCTCTGAGCCTCAGGTCCCTCTTTTCGAAAATATAAATGATGCCACTAATATTGTAGTTGCAAGGATTAATATGTACACTGCCTGGAAAATAAAACTAGGTTTTCTTTTCTTTTTTTTTTTTAACTAGGTTTTCAACAAATAATAGTTTTTCCCTTGTCTAAGGCCCTGTCTCGGAAAAGCTGGGGTTTCAGAAAAATTCAGACATAAGGGAGTAAGTCAGGAATCCTATGACAAGGAAAGGGGAATAAGCCAGGAATTCAGCTACAGTAACATCTGAACTCCTGGTTCTCTAAGGCTAGGGAAAGGAGAAAATTAGATTAAGAATTTGAAGAATTTGGGATCCCTGGGTGGCGCAGCGGTTTGGCGCCTGCCTTTGGCCTAGGGCGCGATCCTGATCCTGATCCTGGAGACCCGGGATCAAATCCCACATCGGGCTTCCGGTGCATGGAGCCTGTTTCTCCCTATGCCTGTGTCTCTGCCCCTCTCTCTCTCTCTCTGTGTGAGTATCATAAATAAATAAAAATTAAAAAAAATTAAAAAAAAAAAGAATTTGAAGAATTTGTAAATATGTGTGATGGCTCTGTGGCCCCAACAAGAAGGGTCATTTAGAAGGGTACAGGGGCAGAGATTCAGATGTTACCCAGAGAATGAAAAGTCTCTTGCCTACCTATTCAGTGATGCTTGAAATCTCTAAGAACATGAAGCCTTTTAAATGGGTAGGAAATATCAGAAAGGGAGACAGAACATAAAGACTCCTAACTCTGGGAAATGAACTAGGGGTGGTGGAAGGGGAGGAGGGCGAGGGGTGGGGATGAATGGGTGACGGGCATTGAGGGGGGCACTTGACGGGATGAGCACTGGATGTTATTCTGTATGTTGGCAAATTGAACACCAATAAAAAATAAATTTATTATAAAAAAAAAAGAACATGAAGCCTTTTATTCCACTACTAGCATCTGGAAAATACCTTGCATATAATAGGCATTCAGTAAGCATTTGTTAAATTGAATCATAACTAAAACTTAAAGGGCAAACACCCCTGGGAGAGGTAACACGGTAATTTGATTCACACAAAAGTAATGCCAACCTCCTCTTTATGAAAGCAAATTTTAAGATGAAAAGTAGATACTTTTGGAATAGGAAAACATCTCCAAGATTGGGAGAGGGTTCTGGAGACAACACTGCTTGGTATCCAACTTCAACGGAAGCCATCCTCATTTCATTATTTAAGTATTTTGTTCCAGTTCTTTGAATAATTTACTTTTTCTCTCCAATTTTAACAGAGAACATATTATAAGTTCGGTTTAATTTGTCCTTGGCTTTCACTCTGTGTGTATAAATAAGAAAAAGAGGATCCTTTTTGATTGCTATGCCCAGGAAGCAATCCATGATCATGGGCAGATGCATGCAGCCAGTATGAGCTTATGGTAGTTCCCAGAAACACCCTTCCGTTGCGGGGAATCACCACCAGGTGCAATAGACTTGGAGACTTGGCATTCCTAAAGACTTTTTATTGTATATTGAAATATAAATTTCATATTAAATTATTCCAATGTGTGGGACACCTGAATGGCTCAGTGGTTGAGCGTCTGCCTTTGGCTCAGGGCGTGATCCCATGGTCCCAGAATCAAGTCCTGCACTGGGCTCCCTGCACGGAGCCTATTTCTCCCTCTGCCTCTGTCTCTGCCTCTCTCTGTGTGTCTCTCATGAATAAATAAATAAAATCTTAAAAATTTTTTTCCAATGGTGTATTTTTTATTGATATCTGGAAATTTATGTATTTTAGAAGGAAAATCTTTTTCTTCCCCAATGAATTGGCATGCTTACTTTTATTATTGGGCTTCCCTTTTTGTCTTAGCTGATAGAAAGCTTGAAACTAAGATTTATGCTCAGTTGCAATAATTATTAATAGCCTATTTTTCTATTGATCTTTAATTCCCTTTATTAGGCAGGTGGCTTTTTTAAAAATATTTTTTTAAAAAATTATTCATCTATTCATGAGGGACACACAGAGAGAGGCAGAGACACAAGCAGAGAGAGAAGCAGGCTCCACGCAGGGAGCCCGATATGGGACTCGATCCCGGGACCCAGGATCATGCCCTGAGCTGAAGGCAGACTCAACTCAACCATTGAGCCACCGAGGCGTCCCACGGCAGGTGGCTTTTTTTTTTAAAAAAAACAACACCACTCAATTAAGCCTATATTTTATTGGAGGAGCTCTAAGCCCTATGGAACTGGAGATATGAGTAAAATAAACTATCTTTCACATATATCATAATATATAGTCTAATACATAGAATATATAGCTTATTCATTGCATTTTATTTTATTATTTTTAATAATAAATTTGTTTTTTATTGGTGTTCAATTTGCCAACATACAGAATAACACCCAGTGCTCTTCCCATCAAGTGCCCCCTCAGTGCCCACCACCCAGTCACCCCGACCCCCCGCCCTCCCCCCCTTCCACCACCCCTAGTTCGTTTCCCAGAGTTACGAGTCTTCCATGTTCTGTCTCCCTTTCTGATATTTCCCACTTATTTTTTCTCCTTTCCCCTTTATTCCCTTTCACTATTATTTATATTCCCCCAATGAATGAGACCATATAATGTTTGTCCTTCTCCGATTGACTTACTTCACTCAGCATAATACCCTCCAGTTCCATCCACATCGAAGCAAATGGTGGGTATTTGTCATTTCTAATGGCTGAGGAATATTCCATTGTATACATAAACCACATCTTCTTTATCCATTCATCTTTCTATGGACACCGAGGCTACTTCCACAGTTTGGCTATTGTGGACATTGCTGCTATCAACATCGGGGTGCAGGTGTCCTGGTGTTTCATTGCATTTGAATCTTTGGGGTAAATCAGCGCAATTGCTGGGTTGTAGGGCAGATCTATTTTTAACTCTTTGAGGAACCTCCACACAGTTTTCCAGAGTGGCTGCACCAGTTCACATTCCCACCAACAGTGTAAGAGGGTTCCCCTTTCTCCGCATCCTCTCCAACATTTGTGGTTTCCTGCCTTGTTAATTTTCCCCATTCTCACTGGTGTGAGGTGGTATCTCATTGTGGTTTTGATTTGTATTTCCCTGATGGCAAATGATGCAGAGCATTTTTCTCATGTTATTGCATTTTATTTTACATTAAAAGCCTATTATATTATTAGGTGTACATTTAATCTATGTATTTATAGATAATCTTTAGTTTCATATTCAGAGGATTTTTGGAACTCATATTTGTCTGTTTGGACATGCTTAACACCACAGCAAAAGTTATTCAATAAACACAATAAAAGCAACAAGATGTAAAGGCCAATATAATTTTTTCATTCATTGGGTTATCATGAGCATATTTCAATCCCTAATGTCCCTGAAGGACAAAAATAAATATTTAGGGAAAAATTTTAAAGAAATATATAACAGGGCAGAATAAAAGTAGAATCACATGGTATGTGTGAACTTTGTGTTGACTTCAGTTTCAAGACAAAATCCCTTAGGTTTTGGTGCCTGAAGAGGCTTGAGACTGTGCCATTCTCCAATCAAAATACTGTAGCTATTGATTCCTCTAATCCTAAAAGAGAAAGCAGAAGTTGCAGCTAGTAGGTATTAGCATGTTATGAAGTAATGGATTAATTTGTTGTCACTAGAGGGTCTTTAAGAAAGTTTTAAGCTGAGTCCTTGTTAGGA